GCATCTAGAACTCTTAATTTTATAATTTCAGAATCAAGCAGGTGCAGGTTTACTAAGGGGTTGTACAATATCCATTAGTACCCAATGCCTGGTGTAATGCAAGCATTCGTGGTTATATGCCATGGATGTCTCTGTGTAGTTGTTCTAATGCCTCCACTATCTAGAGGTGAAGCATAAGCCACTGTTAATACTGCAGCTGTCCTCCTGAAGAGCCTGCTTACATTTGCAATATGTTGTAGAAAAAGGCAACAGAAATGATTGAAGAAATCAAATAGTTTCCAAGTGACTAAATAGACTGGGACTGTGAACCCAAAGGAGACATGACTTGGGTGGGGACAAGCTAGTCTTCCAGAAAATCCTAAGTGACATTAAGAAAGTGACTGCTACCTCACCCAGTATGAGGAAATCAAATTAAATCAGCATGTTTCAAGAAAAAGAGGAGCTATTTCTTCTCATAGTGTATTGTTAAACTGTAAAATGTATTGCCTTAAGGCATTGTGCATGTTAAAATTTTACATACTCAAAAAATAACTAGATAAAAATCACGATGGAAGGGACGGGGCCATCGGGGACTGCTGTAGGCTAAGATGCTACTGCAGTCTTAGAAAAGGTATTGATCTGTGCATCGCTAGAATTTGGTAGAGTTTATCTTGAAACCATCGGTGTATGGGTGCACCACTCTTAAACTCTTCCATAGGCATATCTGCTATGAGAGATAGAATGTGGGGAAGGTGAACCTTTGGTTTTAGCAGCAAATCCCAGTCTTGTATGATGAAGAAGAGAACGTTTTAAGGAAGTAGATTGTTTCTGCAAACTTCTTATCGCCTGTCTCTAACAAGAAGGTAATGGAATATTTATAATGCAAAAAATGAAGCAAGACTCTCATGGAGAAATAACCTTTTTATTAAATCATCTGAGAAATAATGTTTTATTAAATTACATCAAAAAGTAAGAAACTCCAGGTGCCTAGGCTTCTCTCCAGGTATTTCAATTTAATGAGAAATGTGCTTTTTTTAAGATTTCCTGTTCTTACCTCTCCAGCATACCCGTTTCCCTTACACTTTGGAAAGGAAGCATTAGTAAAGGGGAAGGTTGGATTTGGAAACACTGTCTCACAGATAGTAAGTTGGGGGGGGGAGTAGAAAGGTAGGCTTTGTATATAATGAGAAAACACGCTTGTACATCTGAATTTCAGGCTTCCTAGATAACTTCCTTGTAATTATGTGATTTGAAATCTCTTAAATCATGAAGCCTAGACATGTAGCTAGTGAAAAGGTGTGATTTTTCTGTCAGTGTTGGAACAGATGTTTGTTAGCTAGGCAAAAAAACGTGAAAAATAAACAATGCAGCCAAGTGTAACTGTGATTATGATAAAAATAAACACTATCCTTGAGGGCAGCAACATGTGTATTGTGAAACAAGCTCTTTGCATTGTGAATATTTCTCACTTCTACTGTTGCCATTGGAAATTCCTGACTTTATCTCTTTTTATTATTTTAGCAAGTCGGCTATATTCTGACTAGGAATGAGTTGTGCAGTCTGTTCCTTAAATGCTGAACTATTGTTTTATAACAAATTCATGGCTTGTAGAGACTTAAGTGGAATTTTAAAGCTCCTCTCTGAAAACTTTAGGAATGTAATTTAGTTTTTTCCTCTAAAACTCCCCACTGGAAACTGCAGTAAATTTTTTACCGACTCAGTGCTCTTTAAAATTGTATCCTGAACTATCATACTAGAAAGAGCATAATATTAAAGATGACAGACAGCTGAACTTTTCCATTGTCTGTTTTAAAATGAGAAGTTTGAGGGTTTTCTCCTTCAGTTAACTACTGCCCAGAACCTTTCAATTGCTCATTTCATGGGGACGTTCTATATTTACATGGTATGGCCATGGTTTTTCTGTGTGGTTTAACCATATACTGGAACAGCAAAGGTCAATACTAACTACAGATTACTTTGCCAAAGTAAAATATACCCATATTTATTCCAACCCCCTAATTTTGCAGCTATTGGCTTAGTTTAACTCGTGTAAGTCAACTCAGTAGCTTAAATCTCAGATTTTTAAGGTCTTTTTTATTTTAAAGAGACAGTATTGTAGAGCGTGTTCTAAAACAACTGAAGGGGCATAGTTTATATATGTGTGCAGGCAGTAGAATCAAAATACAAAGTATTACATTAGTAATTACATTAGTAATTACATTACATAAGTAATGACTAATAGATAAACTTGCATCACAGTGAGAGAGAAGGGGCTGGATGAGGAAGGACAACAGTGACGAGAGATCCTTGGTCTCTGGTTATTGGGTTGCAGGGGATGTTGTATTTGTGTGGCAGTGGAAATCTTCCAAGGGCTGTTACTGGAGGTGAATGGGCAAGTCTTGGCTGTGGCAGCTAGTAGAGAGCAAGGACTAAAGTGTCGTTTTCCCAGAGCTTTCTGCCCTACAGCCACACTTTGCCAAAGTGAGTATTTTTGTGTGATGGATATCACAAGTATTTTTTTAACAGTACGTTGTTTTCAGCAGTTATAATGACCTTGATGGCAGAGTCATTACATTCCTCTTTCCATCACCAGTATTTCTGCTGCTTGGTGGCACATGTAAGCCACAGCCAGTAGCTAAAGTATATTTTTGCTTTTTGAGAAAGATAAATGTTGATATTTTCCTGAAACTATTAATATTGCAACCCATCAGAAGACAATACTGTTTTGTGAAAACATTTCACCTTTTGAAACTGGAAGAAAAACATTCAGATATTTAAAGCAACAGTACTGTCTTATTTTCTCTTTGCCCAGTTGTAAATATTTCCCAGCATAAGGTTTGTTGAAGCCAGTATGAAATAACATTTTCTGGTTTCAATACACTGCGAGGTGAGCAGTCAGTACTTTCAACTGCTTATAGAAGGAGTTTGGAGAGAAAACTGCAAAAAGAAAGGTGAGTGCTAGCTTGGATATGTACATGGATAGAAATAAAAAGAATTGTGTGAATAGTTTGCAGCCAATTTAAAAGGCTTATTAAAGCTTTTGTAATTTGAGTTGCCGTCACAAGCATTCACAGAACTTTTTATTCTGGCTGTATATAAGAGCAACTGAAGCTTTAGATATGGTGTTCGAGAACGATTGGTTTGTAATATAAATTCCCAGCATCGCTACATTTGGTGTCTGGATACTAGTAGCACAGACTCCACATTAAAAGAACACTCAGTTTGGTGAGTGTTATTTTTTATTAATTCAACGAGCTCTAAAAACCTTTAAAATATGAAATCATTTGAAAGTTCTTGTTCTCTTTTCAAGTACATTACCTGGACAGTGCTTTTCACCTTTGGTCTGTTCTGTCAGTGTTTCAGTGCGTTGTACTCTTGGCTACAGGACTATTTGTGTGAGATGTTACAATTTATTTGGTGCTTTTGTGATGGTAGGGGTTTTGTCCTGAACAGCTAGAATATTTCCTTTGAAGTTTCTTGTTCACTAGGGTTTGCATCTTGACTGAAAATAAGTCTGGCTTTAGTAGAAAGTTGGTCTGTAAGCTCATTTCAGGAGGAAATTTGTCATATCTTTAATGCTTAATTTCAATCCATTAATCTACAGGGTTCGTATTGTATAGTACAACACTGGTGACACACATCATTGCAGAGCAGTGTCAGATTTCCTCCTGCCCTTGTAGGTTGTTTTTTATGTTTTTTAGGGGCTACTTTTAAAATAGCTTTTTTTTTCCCCATTTTTCTATCTAAAATTTATCTCAATTCTGCATTGTATTCATGAAATCTTTCTTGTATCTGAAATTTCAAATAGATTGGTTTCAGTCTACTCAGGTTTAGAGGCTTAGAGGCACTTAAGAGTGAAGATAAAGAAATTACAACAAAAAGCTAGTATGAAGAAGCATACCTCTCTTTCTAAACAAGAAATATCAACTGGTGGCTGATTTGGGCAAGCAATAGTCCCAGGCAACAGATGTCGCTCACATCATGGCTGACATTTGCACAGTGCTGCAGGTAGCATGTGCATTTGCTGGAACAGGATCCGAGCTAATGGCAGAGAGAACTGTGAAAGATAACAGTACTGTAGAGGGTCAACGTGCATGTGAAAGGAAAAATGCTCCAGGTTGAAGCTTCTCACACAAGCCTCTTCAGTGTGTATTGCAACAGAGGTAGGGTTGGAAGCTTTCATAGAAGAAACAAATGGACAATCAGCCTACGGCTGGGTAAACATCTGACAGGCTTAGTAGATGCACTTGTCCTGTCTGGTCTGATTTGTCACTGTACCTGTATACTCCTATGGAAGGTGTTTTTGTCCTGGTAAAGACAGCAGGCTAGAGGAGATCGGGTATGGACAGGCATTCTTCCCAAAGATAGGTGGAACTTACAGTAGAGTAGTCAGCTAGAGGATAGTCTCTACATTTCAGAGAATCACAGAATGGTTTGGGTTGGAAGGGACCTTAAAGATCATCTGGTTCTAAGCCCCCTGCCAGGGGCAGGGACACCCTCCACTAGACCACGTTGCCCAAAGCCCCATCCAACCTGGCCTTGAGCGCTTCCAGGGAGGGGGCATTTGCTATCTGCAAACATTGTAGTGGTGTTCAGTGAAGGTGTAGATATGCAGATCTTGGCAAGGCAGTCTGTGGTCCTGCCCCCTTTTGCTAATTCAGCAAGATGCCCTCAACTGAACTAAGGCAGTCATCTCCTGACATAGCAAATGGGATGGGCATTCAAGGAAGTGTGACAACTGACTTGAATGGACTTAATGCAGTGTAACCACCCCCTAGGCTGGGGCTTCAAGGACAAATGCTACATGTGCTGCAGGTAGGCAAAATTGCTGGCCTCAGTGGCAAGCAGTGGTAGTCACCACCCCATATAATCTGACATACATTTATTTCCTAGAAAGTGTGCCAAATGAATGGAGACTATTGCCATGTTCACATTACAATGGTTTATTTCTTGCAGAACTACAGTTTTTGGGTCACTGGCTCAAAACTGTGGGAACCAGCAGTTTTAGTGTCTCTGACACAATGACAATTCCTCCTTCCAGTGGAGCCATGACTAATACTTTGTGTGCACTGTGCATCATGGAACTCTTTATGAAAAGAGACAAGAAAAAGATCCTTTTTCTTAAACTTTTGAAACTTAAGACCTTGTCTAAAATCCAAGAATATCAGAATGGTATTGGAACCTTTCCTGTTGCTTTCCATGGCATATAAAAGCTTTCTTTGAAAGACCACCTAAAATAAGATTGCAGAAAATCAGTAAATCTGTACGAAAGATTTGCAAACTCTAGAGTTAGAGTAAAAGAAAATTAAAAGATGCCATACAACTTATCTAGAGCACAAGACCTAAAGCAGCATAGTACGGAGAAATGGGAGAGTTTGCTTCAGGGATGAGGACAATGCTGAATATATTCTTTGTTCTGGGGGACTGTCCTTGTCCTGGACCTCTTTATTCAGCTTTTTTATAGCTTTTGAAAAATTTGGGTAATCGGAATTTCACAGAATATTGTGAATCAGGCAGGTCATACCAGGCCTAATTCAGTGGATGTGGAATAATTGCCATTCCTGTAATATTTTCCAAATGATGCTGACTGCAGGGAAAGCTGACACTTTACTTACTGGGGGGTGAGGACTGGGCCTAGGACTACTTGCTTTTTGACAGTAGGTGTGGGAACAACAGCCTTCACACAGTAGATGATTTATTTGTCTCTGGCTGTAAAGTCTATAAATTTGAGTTCTACAGATGTTGAAGCCCATGTAGGAAATGTCTCATTTCTCTCTTTTTTTTTTTAACTCTATTGCAAAATTGCAGAAAGGGTTAATTTTACTTTAATGTAACTTTTTTACAGGTGCAGATTCACTCTACAGAAATAGTTTCAGCCTCAGTGATGAGAAGCTTAACTCTCCAACTGCATCTACTCCAAGCTTGCCATCTCCATCAGTAACTCCATGTAAAGGTAAACTTAATTTTAACTGTTGACTTTTTTCCTAATTCTCAACTATGCAGGCTTCTTTCTGTAAACCAGGATTCACATGCATGCATTGACTCTTTTTTTTAAAATGACAACAAAACTAAAGATTACTGTTAAGCACACTACAGATGCAAGTATTATTGTGTTGATCACAAACAGCAATAGCACACTGTATCCACACTTCTTCAGGGGTGACCCAGCAACTCTTTTGATTTTGAAACACCAAACTACATAAGAGTTTTTTGGTTTATCAGGAATCGTGGTACTCCTTACAGAATACTTCACTTCAGAATTAACTTGTGTTACTTCTTACTGAAGCAACTAAGTAGCTTAAGTGTCCCATTATAGACAGAAATACTTAGCCTGAATGCAGGGGTGCAGTAGGTGACTCCTCTGAAGCTATATGCTGCCGTTTGAGTTAATGCAATTACTCAGGTCCATATAGAGCTTGCACTACTGATACAATCTATATATTAGTAATTCCTTCCTCCTTTGTAGCCATGCTGTTTAAAAGTGGCTTCTGTCCTGCAGCTGATCTAACTCCCCAGGAGCTTGTTTCATTCAGGTTAACTTAGATTAACTCTGGAGTAGACATATCAATAAATGAACAGTCATAAGTATGTACTACATGGTGCTTTTGTTACAATTGGTGTTCTCAGATGGATATTCAAGAGTTTTCCATGCTTTCATGTCTTTTCCACAGTGACCATAGAATCATAGAATTGTTTTGGTTGGAAAAGACCTTTAAGATCATCAAGTCTACCCGTTAACCTAGCACTGCCAAGTCCACCACTAAACCATGTCCCTAAATGCCACATCTGCATGTCTTCTAAATACCTCCAGGGATGGTGACTCAACCACTTCCCTGGGCAGCCTATCCCAATGCTTGACAACCCTTTCAGTGAAGAAATTTTTCCTAATACTCAATCTAAACCTTGCCTGGTGCAGCTTCAGGCCATTTCCTCTTGTCCTATCACTTCTTACTTGGGAGAAGACTGACACCCACCTGGCTACAACCTCCTTTCAGGTAGCTGTAGAGAGCAATAAGGTCTCCCCTCAGCCTCCTCTTCTCCAGGCTAAACAACCCCAGGTCCCTCAGCCGCTCCCCATAAGACTTGTGCTCCAGACCTTTCACCAGCTTCATTGCTCTTCTCTGGACACGCTCCAGCACCTCAATGTCCTTTTTGTAGTGAGGGCCCCAAAACTGAACACAGTACTCAAGGTGCGGCCTCACCAGTGCCGAGTACAGGGACACAATCACTTCCCTAGTCCTGCTGGCCACACTCTTGCTGATACAAGCCAGGATGCTGTTGGCCCCCTTGGCCACCTGGGCACCAACACCCCCAGGTCCTCTTCTGCCCGGCAGCTTTCCAGCCACTATTCACCAATCCTGTAGCGATGCAGGGAGTCGTTGTGACCCAAGTGCAGGACCCAGCAATAAGTCCTGTTGAACCTCATACAGCTGGCCTTGGCCCATTGACCCAGCCTATCCAGGTCCCTCTGCAGAGCCTTCCTACCCTCAAGCAGATCAACTTTCCTGCCCAACTTGGTGCTGTCTGCAAGCATACTGAGGGTGCACTCGATCCCCTTGTCCAGGTCATTGATACAGATGTAAAACAGAACTGACCCCTGTCCTGAGCCCTGAGAAACCCCATGTGTGACCAGCTACCAACTGGATTTAACACCGTTCACCACAACTCTTTGGGCCTGGCCATCCAGACAGTTTTTTACCCAGTGAAGTGTCCGCCCATCCCAGCTATAAGCTGCCAGTTTCTCCAGGCGAATGTTGTTGGAAACAGTGTCATAGGCTTTACTAAAGTCCAGGCAGACAACATCCACAGGTTTTCCCTCATCCACTAAGCGGGTCACCTTGTCATAGGAGAACAGGCTTGTCAAGCAGGACTTGCCTGTCATAATCCCATGCTGACTGGACCTGATCGCCTGGTTGTCCTGTACATGCTGTGTGATGGCACTCAAGGTGATCTGCTCCATAACCTTCCCTGGTCAGACTGACAGGCCTCTAGTTCTCCACACCAGTCACACAAAAACAAGTTAAATGTTTTCTTTCTAATTAGCATGAGACTAGGGAGAAATAATGAGTAATAGTTAAGAAGTAGCAAAAAAGAGTAGTTAGACTGTCAGGAAATACTTGGCAAGGAGTAATATTAAAGGTCAAGATGCTCTTCCTGATGAGAGAGCAAAAAGACAGAAATAGAGTTGGAACTGGCTTAGAATAGGCCACAGAAATGAGATAAGGAAGCCACTTGCAGTAAAACTAGATTCAATAGGACCAGTGATGTTCTCAGGAGTGGAAATTTAGATGGATGTTTGGATCCAAATTTATAGCGTATGGGCGAAGATCAAAGGATCTGACATCACAGCAAACCAGTGATACTGACATGTTTTCAGAGGCTTAGATTTGAGTATGACTGGGAGCTAACTGGATGAGGTTTGATTAGGGCCATGAATGCGGTATCTGAATAGATGCAATAAGGAAGACTCCCACAGTAGAAAGGACATGGATTAGTTGACGTACAGCTTTTTTTTTCTTCCACTTCAGCCTTTGCTTTTTAAGGAAACCAAACAGAAGATTGGTTTGGTTATTTCAAATGGAAAACTATAAAAACTAGAATTTTAATTCAGTCTCCCCTGTTTTCTAAGAATGCATTTGGACACTGCAGCAACCCTATTGAACTTTACTGAAAATCATCCACAGCCTGTTTGATACCACTGAAAGTGATTTGGAGGATTGTGTGGTTCCATTGTTTCTTTTGGCCAGAGAAAGATGTCATGTCTAAGCAGTATTGACAGTCTCTTATTTTGCAGCAAAGCTTGGAGACACAAAAGAACTGGAAGAATTCATTGCTGATCTTGACAGGACACTAGCAAGTAAGTAGATTTTTTTTAGTAGGCTACATCTCACTTGGTACTGTCAAAGAGTGATGAAAGCCAATGTGTAGGGGAGGGAGAAGCAAAGGGTAGTAATAGTTTTATGTAATGTGGCTTCATTTTAGTTTGCTAGTCCTATGGATCATTATTTGGATAAGAAGGTAAAATAAACTAAATTCTGGTCTTTGCCTGAATGTTCACAGCGTGCAGTTTAGCTTGTGTGACAAAGGCTGTATACCGATGAACCTCTGTCCTCACCTTTGAGGCAGCTGCAATTCACTCCTCCTTGACGTGTATAGATCAAGTACACATCACTTTCTTAAATACTCAAAACTCAGCTAAAAAGTGGGGGGTTGTTTCTTCATTATAAAGCTAAGTAACTGGAGGAATAACTGTAGGAGAGGGAAACCTTTTTATTCAAGACTTTGTTTTATGAAAGAATTAAGGAGCAGATATCTGCATCTGTTGACTTAGATTAAATGTCAAATCCTGTTTGTTCTTGTCTTTACCAGGAAGGGAATTTAGGTAACTCTTTCTTTCACTATATAGAAATTCTATTTTCCAGTTACAGTACTAGGCTCTTCATTATGATTTTAAAAGAAAAACAACAAAACCAAAAAATGCTCTCCTCTTCCCAACCATGTACTCTGCCTATTCTTTCTGCTTCTTCCTGTGCTGTTACAGATGTGATACTGTGGTTTGGGTTTTTTGTATGGAACCAGACTATAGAGCCTAAAACAAAAAACTGTAGGACTAGACCTAAACAGCAGCATGAACACCCCCCCCAAACTATGAACTGAGAGTTTCTTGTATTCATTAGGTATTTTCCCTTCCCTATAATTCTTGAAGCCTTGGCCATCTGCCTTGGACTTAACTCAATTACAGCTGCCCTTATGAGTTTCCTACTTCCCTGCTGTCTTCTATCTTAATCCTGGTTTCACTTTTCTTACTTAAAATACATTTCTAGTTTCCTGACTTCTGTCATGGACACATGCTTGAGTTAACTCCATCTTTACCACTGAAACCTTATTGACCGATTGCTCTTCTGAAAAACTTCTGAGTTTGAAGGTTTGCACAGAGCAATGAAAGCCCCAAACCACCAAATATTTACATTGGTGTATCTTGCACAGCCATGTTGCAGCTAACTCTTAAGGGGCAATAGTATACTGGTTTTGTTGTCCCCTTGCAAGGCTCATCTAAGGTGAAGCCAGGGATTGCCACCTGCTGTAGTGGTTTTTGTGGGGTTTTTTTTCCTCCAAACTAAGCAAATCTCTAGTTATTTCAGCAGAGTCTCATTTACATGGTGTCACTTGTCTTAGTGATACACTATCTTTGTCATACATGGAAACTGAGGAAAAAGTCCAACTTCCATCTGATATTTATCATCACAATTTTAAGGAGTTGTATTTATAGGCTTGAAGTTACACCAAACTTTGTACAGGTGCCTTTTCAAGCCTAATGCACTTATTAGAACAGTAATTGCCTTAAATTTTTACACACTAACCTTTTGTCTCTTGTGTTAATTAAGAAAAGGCATAATTTTGGCCTGTCAGGCAGTCTAGCAAGCTGGGCATAGATAGGATGTCTGGTATGTCAGCAACATGGAATCTTATCTAATATAGAACTTAACGGTCTTGTTTTGTATTTCCAGGTATGTGAAATGAATCTTTGGCATTGTGCTTGCCTGTCAATGTCCTCTGAAGAAGTGACATCAGTCACTGAGAACTGCTGCCCTTGTCTGATAACTTTGCTACCCCAGATATTCACCTTCTGAACATTACCTTCATAAACTCCTACAAGTATTTAACTGGCAACATCAGTTTTGTTACTTTGCAGCAGATGGAATAAGACAGCTTAAATATTGCAGCTGTATTTTTCTTTAAAATATAGCTTCATTTTTAATTTAAAGTTGCTTTTATGAATATATTTGTAATTTTATATAGTTGAGAACTTGTAATGCTTTTTTCCATTATAATATATTTTTGTACACAAATAAACCCTGCATTGGAATCCAGTTGTCTGAAAGCTTCACATGAACATGCGAACTCTGAAACATAAGTTCAAATTAAGCTCTTTTTGAAAACATTGAGCTTTAAAATATCTGATAAGGGTATATTTTTCCTGTTAGACAAAATGTGTTATGCTGGCTTCATGTGGAACTTCCTGGTTTTGTTTTCAAATTGCTTAAATAAGATAATTTTGTACTATGTAAAATTAATACAATCAGGAAAATAAAATTGGTCAAACGGTTACTTCAGATTTGCTTTAATACAAGTGAAATAACATTGGCTTAGTACAGATCTGAACAATAACACCTATTTCCAACCCCATGTAAAAGCTAGCTTTAAAATTACATACCATTCTACATGAAGTACTAATTGGGAGGTCAGACATTTAGGCCCACGGGTTTAAAGGTATGAAGATCCTGTAGCACTACGAATATACTTAAGTGTCTGGATGTTTCTGATACCAGACCCTTGGGTCCAAAACAGTCTACCACTCTAAAAAGGCTTCCTGGTCATCAGTGTTATGCTGAAAGAGTAGAAGGTGAACCTGTATTTTTTACAAGGAACCTGATTCTTTCCATATGCGTTAGGCACTGGAGATGTCATTATGTGAGCTCTGCTCCAGCTGCTGCAGGCATTACGTTTAGCTCTGCTGCCTGAGCGGCTCATGCGATTGCTCTCTAATCTGTTCAGACCGAGTGAGCTGAGCTCGTTTGAACTCCATGTTTTATTTTGACCAAAGCAGGCTAGTGAGCAATTCAGATATTGTACCTCTTTGGTCTGTTGTTATCTTTGTGTCTGTGCCTAGAGAAGGATGTGTCTGTACCTGTGGCACAGCTACAAGCCAGGTGGGACCTTAAAAGACTGATTTGGACCTGTCTTTTGCAGTAAGGGGAAGCTCTACTGTGTGTTTGCTAATGGGAACACCATGAGGATGATGCAAATCTATCTCCCTGCTTTAGATTTCCTAAAAATTGACCAAATCATTTGGGTCTTTTTAAACACCATATGATTTTTCCAGTTTTATTTGTTGGTAAAAAAATGAAATTCTGAACTGGGTATATTTTAATCAGTCTGAAATGACCTTGAGGTGGTTGTGTGGGATTTTTCCTTCTTTCAGACAGCAAGGCAATGTAAGATGGAGGAGTATGTTTCTGAAGACGAAAAACGCCAATGTTTCCTACAGTTGGTAAATTGTCCTTTAGAATAGAAATAGAGTGAACTGATTAGGAATGTGAACTTTCATGTTGCTGTAGGTTAACTATAAAATCAATGAATTAAGGTGGTATGGTTCAAGTTTGAGACAGGGGTGTGCTTCTGCATGTTCTGGGACTTTCTTAGAGGCTTCTGCACAGCAGGAAACCCATTTTGAGCAGCAAGGTAGGCTTGCTCTGGCAAAGCCAGAGCACTGTGGAAATTCACTGCTACTACACTATAAACACACAGGAGCAAATCCTCCTTTTGGCTGCCTCTGTGAAACTGAGAGGGGAGCCTGGCCCTTCTCCCCACTCCCAGATGCAAAGGGATGTGTTGCTGCGCGGAGCCAGGGAGGGGGATTCCCTTGGCTGGTGTAGGACTTGCTGCTACGTGGGGAGGGAGAGGCACTGTGCCTTTCGGTGGAAGCTGAGGGAAGGGGAACCAGGAGAGAGGAGACAAGCTCAGGCTTTTCTTTTAGGAAACATTAGCATAAGGCGTGTTTTTAAAGCTGCTCGAATAGCTGTATCAGTTTTGGCTGGCTTTCTGCATTTTAACACTCTTTGGTAGGGTGAATGATGGAGTGGTGGTGAATGGCGGATGTTGCTGTCCCAAAGGCAGGATACTCCAACTACACGTGTGTTAAATAAGCCGTGAGTTTCAGAGGAGGCCACCTCAAGCGATCGTAGGGTGAGGTGAGATGGGCAGCTGTTTGTTCCTCCATTTGTCAGTTCAGATTGTTTGAGGTATCAGGAATGAGTTTTCCACTTTCCCTCTTCATGTTCAGTTGTTGCTTGACCCCGCCGAACACTCTGGGCCTATAATCAGTATTTAAAGTTGGATGTCTCCCTTTACAGAGTGATTTCACCGAGTTAGTACAGTACTTTGGAATGGCAATGCATTGTCCTTACAGACATTCAGTTTTGAAGATTTTTCCCATATAAGCAAAGGTTTAAAGCAAGGCATGTTCCTCATTTTGTGTAATGTCAGTTGGGGATGGAGTTGGGAATTAAGTCACCATCTGTTTGGGTTTTTTAATCTTATTTATGCATGAACAGGTGGAGGCTTCTGCTTGCTTATACAGCGGTTCTGGAGATCATCGGCTACAAAATCTGGGAGTGTCTTCTGCGGAGCTGTTGATCTGAATTCCCTCCAGTTTTGTTATGCTCAATTTTGAGTATCTTGCTGTGCCAGAAGGAAGTCACTAATGTAGATGTCATTTCACTGGAGTATGCTTATGACTTAAGTGCATCATCTAATTACATATGGCATGGAAAAATGCATTGCTGAGAAAAGTTCCTGCGATACTCTCTCCCCAGTGAGCATTGCTGGAGGCTGCGCTGTCCCGATGGACCAACCAGACTTTTTAATCCTTGTTTTGACCTTCCTCTCGTGCTGTGATGCTGAATTTGGATTCAAAAGAGAGTCTCTCAGCCCTGTTAGGACAATGCCACACATCCAGAAATGGAAAACGAGGAGCTTAGGCTAAGCAGATGCATTGCCACAGCTTAATATGTGTAAGGTGAGGCACAAAAATTATTTCCACCTATGCTCTTTACCTACTGCAAATTCAAGGTTAAATGGATTAGTTTAAACCTCCATCACTGCGGCTTGAGCTAATGTGTCTTATCTTGGGCTTGCCATCACCCAGGTTCAGCTGATACGTGGTAACATATTAAACTTGGTAATGTGCACATTTTTCTGAGCCCTTAATAAAAGAGAGAGAAAAGTCAAAGGAGGGATTTTTTTTTTTCCTGCCTGCTGGAAAACATCTGTGTCTGCAAACACAGATTTTTTTAGTTTGTATCATTAATTGTTGCTTTTAGATCGTTGTCCAGCTGCTTCACGTCCTGCATGAAGTGAAAAGAATCCACCAGTGCCGTAGGGAACAGTCCACCTAGCGTGGGTCTCTGTAGACGAGCCCAGATGGAGTTCAGCTGAGACGGAGTTCAGCTTGGATGGACCCATTTGACCGTCCAAGAGGTATTTGCACCACACTGGAGCCCATCTTACGTGAGATTCCATTTATGTTAAGGTCCTTAAATGTGCTAGACATCACATCTGCTAGTCTGTTGGAGAGAAACTTCCAACATTGCAGTGTTTGGAAGCAAAGTGAGTATCATAAAGCCAATATGATGGCAGCAGCTCTTGAACTAAATCCAGCTCTGCGTACTAACAGTGCGAACTCCATGTTCTCAACAGGGAAAACTCCTGTTTTCTGTGTTACTTTAATAGGCTTCCTACATTACTGACTTCACTGCAGCCTGGCTAACAGCTCTAGTTGTCGAAATAACTTCACAATAATGTAAGACGATCCTGGCTGCTATATCTCATCAGCTTAGAGCTGTAAAACAGATCTTTTCAAGGTCTTTGTCTTCTTACAGATTCGAAGTTATCAGTTAAATGCTGTGGGTTGGCTCATGGAATTAAAGCAGATCAGTACAAAGGGATGCTAATGCTTTGGTTGCTTTTGCTCTTTCACTTCTATGTTTTCGAAACTAAAATATTCATCAGTTCAGCTCTTAAAAACTACAGACTAGAGGCCTGTGCATCTGTTCTCCCAAGGCATCAGAGCTCACTGGCTTCTCTGGGAGGCTTGGGGATGCTTAAATGGGCTTGAAGCTGAAAGTGCTGTCTTCTTCATAGAGCTTTACTGAAATATCAACCGCCATCCTTCAGTTCTCTTTATAATGTATTTCAGATCGGTATTTATAATTAAGAATGTCGCTCTTGTCTCAAAAAACAAATCATAGTATTTTGGTATATAGACTGCATAGGATTCACATTTCCTAAAAAAAAAAAAAAAAAAAAAATCTTGCTAGCCTATGAAATCAGGTCAGGACCAATCCCACCTGACTTAAGCACTTAGGTAAAACACTGAAGTCAGGATGTTGCCCTTGGCTCCTTCAGTAGCATTACAAGCAGGAGAGGGAGGCTGCATTATCCCCCAAAGATGTTCCTTTGCTACAATGAATATTGCAAAAGACTACAGATAAGCAGGCTTCTCACTTGGGCTTCTTAATCAACTGCCTAAAGAAAAGTGTGTGTGTCAAAATAAACCTGCCTACGACTGGCCTTAGAGTGTAACAGTTTGTGGGGCTGGAGGAGCAGAGGCAAAACTACCCAGCTGGCTGGGGTGACCTGTTTTGGGGGTTTCGCATCACATTGTGCAAGCACGGCGGCTTCATTCAGCCCTGTGACTTGGAGCATCTGTCCCTGCACCATGCCGGGCAGGGTAACGAGGGGGAGCCCCAGGTTGGTGCTCGGGTATCACCACTCCCCGCCGGTGCTCTGTGTCGGCAGCCCAACGCACACGCCTTGCCCTGCACGTCCTGATCAGCCGGGCCAGCCGTGCTGGTGTAGCAGGTTGTTTGGAGATTTTGGTTTTGGTTTTTTCTGTTTTGTGGTTTTTTTTTTTTTTTAAAGTATTCTAGAACTGTGCCAATGAGTATCCCAACTGCAGATAATTTCTAGGTTAATTATCTGTAATGAGGACCGAAGGGATGCCACTGAGGTCTGTGGCAAAATAGCCATCGACTCAGGCGGGCTGGGATTTAACTCGGTGTCAGTACGTAGCTCCATCCATGCCCCAGAAAGTCTTGGAAGTTGTGAGGGTGGGCAGCTTTCTCACGCAACACGAATAGGAGTTTCTGGACAGTATTTAAAACATCTCAGGAGACTTTTCGCTTAATATCCAAGTTAAACTTGAGTGGGTGATCATGTTCTCCCTTGCTTTTTCTCATTTCTCTGAGAAGTAGAGCGATTCATGACGGTGGATAGGGCT